TTGGATGGAATGCGATGTTTCGAGTAACGTGATGCTGTTGATTGAGAAAACTAATAATTCATCAACTTCTCAGCAATATCCCGGAAGTGCGCTGGCCTTGTTTGATGTGTATTAGGCGTCTTCGAAGTAGGAAGTCGTACTACTATATGGACTGAATCGTGCTCTTCCTTATACGTTTTGAGGCAGTTGAGAAAGTAGACAGGTTTCATCCTTTGGTTATGTCCTCAGATAGTCGCATTCCGTACGACTCTATTTTCAACCTTCCTGTTTTACTCCTACTGTTCATCCCAATGTGCAGCCAAGAACAGCAATCAAAACCGGTGTACGAAAGTGCATGGTTGTACAAACTAAAACTGATCATATGGTATTTTGAAATGTAAACAATCTCCACAGAAGATACCACTTTTCCCTACCCTGGAGTATAGAGTATGTGTTTCAGCAACCACCCAACTAACTGTTTATAATACAAAGATCACTTTAGTAGGTAAATGCTATAGGGAAACTTCATGTTCACGTTTTAATTTTTTTGGGGGATTGTAGTGATTCGATTAGTAGAATTAAGAACACCGAATTATGTTCAGTGTTCGCCGACTCGGTTTATTACTTCGGATGCTCGGTCTTCATCGGTGTACATTATTGGTCGCTTCGTGATTGGGGTCACTGAAACGGATGAGCAGTGCTGAGGTTAGGCGCAGAGTTTTAGGCATTCGCGGTCGTCTACTGGAGCAAGTGATTGACCTCCATAGATTACGTTGGTTGGGACATGTGTTACGCCTGTCACCAGGTAGATTACCACGGCGAGCGATGTTCGCCGAAGCAGATACCGAGTGGAAAAAAGCCAAGGGTGGTCAAGTCAAGACGTGGCACGAGGGTATGAAAACCGTAACCAGGAAACTGGGTCACATAGGTCCTGTTAGGCTCCCTGGCTGGGGACCTCTTGATGATCGTAACCGATGGTTAGCTACACTGAGTGATATGTCTGGGTGTCGTAAACAGTGGCGCTCGTGCATCCACTCATTATTCCCCTGTCACTATTCTATATGAATTCTCCATCTTCCACTTGAATTTGCTTTCAACATTCCAGTCTTCATTCTGCTCTTTTATCCAAATGGGGCACCAAAAGACAGCAACCAAAACCGGCGCACGAAAGTGCCCGGTTAATGGTTGTAAAAACTGAAACTCACTGAAATCCATTCAGTCTACGGCAGCGGATTTCGGTTACGATCTACAACAAAATCACGGGGCACCAGCCATCCGTTTGATTCATGTGACCAAAAGACGATAGAGCACTATTTTACCACTGAAAAGATCGGTATTTGCCATTATTCATTTTGAACCTGTTATAAATACGTCCATGCTTAGTGACCGCACGCGTTTTGAGCCATTTGTTCCCCCACGCCTCAAAACCATCTCATGCTGTTTAATTTAGGAGTTTATTTCCAAAACACTGATACACTTTACTCTTGATATGGTTTGTCCTAGGTGGTTGTAGAAAAGAAACTATGGAGAGAGCTTAAAAAGACTCGGCACGACCTAGGGCGCGACGCGTTTATTGAAGAAGTATGGCGATGGAAAGAGGAGTAAGTCAATCTGTTGCGCGTGTCTTGCCGTTTAATTTACCACCTTCATTTTCCGTTCGTTTATGGGAGTTGACGACCGAACCCCGTGATACTTGGAATGCTTACGTTTGCTGTTATGTTGCTGGAAGCAGCCAATCCCTTTATAAAACTCAGTCATATTTCTTTGTCTGCTTGTTTTTGTTACTCATCCCAATCTGAAATTATCTGTGTTTGCTGATGTGCATAATGTCCACTGCATGCCGTTCGTTGTTTCATACTGACCAGCAAATTGTGATCACCTGAATTCATCGCAGATTAATACAGGCAGTAGCTCTTCAGGATTTGCGCTTAACCCGGCATGTTTTGCCGTCCTACCTAACACAATTTGCTTTTGAACCAAGTTTCGCCAAGTTGGCACAAGAAAACGTCCCAAACAAATAGCATCCTACCATTGATTTTTATCGTTCATCAATAGGGACTTGTAGCTTATCCTGAAACTCCACGAATGTATCCGCTTAAATCTTGCCAATCAATACACACCGCGCATAATGATCAGGTAAAATCTAACGGCATATGGCACCAGTGGATTCTGCGAGGTATTGCGCATGTTTGACAAAATGCACACAATCCTCGAAACAATGAACCATTGACGTACAACGCCTTTTGTTCCATGACACGAGAGCGAGAAGCGAGAATAAGACACATACATGAAGAAGGCAAGCGTCAAAACGTGGTTATATTCCAAAAACCGGAACGATCATCAACCACACTGAAACATCTCCTGTACTCAATGTACACCAACCAATGCATCCAGTTTCGCGTTAATCTCGTATCCGATAAATCAAAACTACCAAGGGTTTCAAAGGCCATTTGGAGATTTGCTATCGCTCCAATTGGTAAGAGGAGCATTCCACAT